CACACACACACCTGGAGCAGTGGGCAGCCATTTATGCTGCAGCAGGGAGCAGTTGAGGGTTCAAGGGCACCTCAGTCGTGGTATTGAAGGTGGAAGAGAGCACTGTACATTCACTCCCCCCACCTACAATCCCTGCCGGTACGAGACTCGAACCCGCAACCTTTAGGTTACGAGTCCGATTCTCTAACCATTAGGCCATGACTTCCCAGTAATGTAACTTGTAGACATTTGGTTGTTATTGACAAAAACCTTTCTGATCCTGTCTGCTTTGAGCATTTTTACAATTAAAAATGAGGGATATACCTTTAAACTATTCTTTACTTTTGAGTAGGCCTGCATATTTTCTTACTGTGGTAGGTGCAGTAAACGTACTGAGCAAGAGATGACGCAGGAGTTAAACTACATTACCCACAAGCCCTTGCGCAGAGCCAACCCAGGTACATAAAATATAATTTATTTTTCCATAAAGATGCATTGAGACTTATCTAAGAAGAGATATTTGCATAATAAGCTAATTGGTTTATTCCGTGTGGGTTTTAAACAAAACCGCCAACAGTCTATGCATAATTTAATAAAAAGTTCGACACCGTATTTTTTCTTGACCAATGAGACGAGCCAACAGGGGACGAGAGCGGACCAATAGCCGACGACTTTACTGAGAGGCGGTCACAGACGGGCGACTGCTGGTTAGTTTGTGCTTTAGATTATTGTTAAGGTTGTGTGGACGATCACTGCGGAGTTCGGCCTTATATCATTACATCAAAAACGGTTATTTCTCAACAATGAACCAGGGGAATAACACATGCATAGAATAATGCAGTTATTCCGATAAATATTGTGACGGTTGAGGAACGAAGACAAGGCTGGGATGGATTCGAGAAGGCCGGCTCGAGACAGCGCAAATAATTCAACAAACAGCCGATAAAACGACCCACTGTCGATTTGTTTAGAAACTGAGGGGTGAGTACGCTTTGGCCACTTGAAGTCTTTTATCTCCGTTTTGTGTGTAGTTTTTTTTTTCTTCTTCTTTTTTTTCCCATTTCCCTGGGACAAGAAGGCAGGAACACACAGATAGATAGCGGGTGAGGGAGGGGGAGTGAAGCAGGAGGTGGAGGATCTTTAAAGGGGAAGGTTTGGTCTGTTTACTATTTAGATACATTGAGGATCTTCAGAATTGCTTGAGGAAAGGATTCTTGTAAAATAACATGCAGTCTTTACTTTTTTAAAAGCTTTCTAATTTCAAGGACAGTCTGTTAGCTAATGTAATATTTTGTTTATCACAAATCATATTACTTGCATAACATCTTGGATAAAAAGTTGAATTGTTGAAAATGAATTTCAGAATGTTTTAGTATTTGGTTAGTCTTAGTTTTTGCTTTAATGACACTCCACAGTTTTGTTGCATGATCCAGAGAGCTTGGAACAAGAACATCTGACTGTACAAAGCAGTTCACATGATCAGTGCCACACATTTGCTTGATTAGTGACCTAGAAATAGTGCAGAAGCTTATATATAGTAATCTTGCATCATACCATTTCTTTATTTTGTATTGTTCAAAATGTATCTTTATTTACAGGCTCAGATTACATACAGTGTAGTCTCAGACATTCAGGATAAACTATATTTTTATTTACAATATGTCATCAGTTCTCAGCTGTTTTTGCTTTATGTCACAGTTTTGGCACTCAGAAGTGGTGACACGTTACATACATACATGCATAGATATTTATTTATTGTGCAAAAGTAAACAAAAATCATAATACTTAAAATGTATTAATATTACCATGAACTATGTTTAAGGATTTGATACTGATGGTCAGCAGCAGGCTTGTCTTTATAGTGTTTCTAAATGTCATTTCAATGGCTTCATGTCCATGGCAGGCAATAATTCATAGCACAAAAAATATTTTGTACAGTACAAACCATGTATATTCTCATTTACCTCGTGTAGTTGTATTCATAGTTTTTAAGTATGAGGAAATGTCAAACAAGCTGATATTGACATCTGCCTAATTTGGCTTGCTTCCACCAAAATAAAGGAATAATTCACCTTAAAATGGAAATTTGCTGAAAATTGACTAACCCTCAGGCCATCTGAGATTTATATGAGTTTGTGTCTTCATCGAAACCGATTTGGAGAAATTTAGCCTTACATCACATGGTCACCAATGGATCCTCGGCAGTGAATGAGTGCCAGCAGAATGAGAGTCCAAACAGCTGATAAAAACATCACAATAATCCACACGACTCCAGTGAAGCAAACAGCTGCATATTTGTAATAAACACATTCATCATTAAGACGTTTTCAACTTCAAATCACTGCCTCTGGCTAAAATATGATAATATTGCTTTCTGCAGTGAAAATGTTGTCTTGTCTGAATCAGGAGAGAAATATGCACAGATCAAGCGATAACAGTCCAAAATAGTTCTTAACAAAACTTTGTTGGTAGATTTTGATGTGAGATGATAATGGGATGGACTTTTTCACTGGAGGAAGCTTTATTATGGATTATGAACTGGTATTTTGGCCAGTTTTTAAAATGCCTTGATGTATATGTTTCTTACAAACATGCAGCTTTTGTTTCACAAGAAATTAATTGATGGACTGGAGTCGTGTGGATTACTTGTGGATTATTGTGATGTTTTTATCAGCTGTTTGAATTCTCATTCTCATAAGTGATGTAATGCTAAATTTCTCCTAATCTGATCCAATGAAGAAACAAACTCATCTACATCTGGGATGACCTGAGGATGAGTACATTTTCAGCAAATTTTAATTCATGGGTGAACTGTTCCTTTAACAAAACATATGAGAAACATTTTCATAGGAGTATGCCTATTAATTTTTTTATCCTTTACATTCATGGTTAAATGTTAGTTGCATCTTATTGTTTGCTGTCCCCAACATCTGAAAAGAAATTTCAGTTGACGATCACTGTTATATCTTAAACGGTTTGTATTTGTATTTGCATGGATCATAAAAATGTTTAAATGTGTTATTACAGCTCTACCAACTAAGAAGGAGAAGACAATAGAAGACATTCTGCCTCAGAAAAGATTCTCTGACTGAAATCTGAGAAAACTGGCCAAAACTCTACTAAACACAAGCCATGGCTGCCATAATTAGAGCAAAACGACTGAGATTCCTTAACGTTTTGTGAAGTGAAAAGCTGCAAACGAACCATTGCTTCTGGCCAAAATACAAGTCCTCTATCCATATATTGCTTTCTCCAGTGAAAATGTTGTCTTGTCTGAATCAGGAGAGAAATATGCACAGATCAAGCGATAACAGTCCAAAATAGTTCTTAACAAAACTTTGTTGGTAGATTTTGATGTGAGATGATAATGGGATGGACTTTTTCACTGGAGGAAGCTTTATTATGGATTATGAACTGGTATTTTGGCCAGTTTTTAAAATGCCTTGATGTATATGTTTCTTACAAACATGCAGCTTTTGTTTCACAAGAAATTAATTGATGGACTGGAGTCGTGTGGATTACTTGTGGATTATTGTGATGTTTTTATCAGCTGTTTGAATTCTCATTCTCATAAGTGATGTAATGCTAAATTTCTCCTAATCTGATCCAATGAAGAAACAAACTCATCTACATCTGGGATGACCTGAGGATGAGTACATTTTCAGCAAATTTTAATTCATGGGTGAACTGTTCCTTTAACAAAACATATGAGAAACATTTTCATAGGAGTATGCCTATTAATTTTTTTATCCTTTACATTCATGGTTAAATGTTAGTTGCATCTTATTGTTTGCTGTCCCCAACATCTGAAAAGAAATTTCAGTTGACGATCACTGTTATATCTTAAACGGTTTGTATTTGTATTTGCATGGATCATAAAAATGTTTAAATGTGTTATTACAGCTCTACCAACTAAGAAGGAGAAGACAATAGAAGACATTCTGCCTCAGAAAAGATTCTCTGACTGAAATCTGAGAAAACTGGCCAAAACTCTACTAAACACAAGCCATGGCTGCCATAATTAGAGCAAAACGACTGAGATTCCTTCACTACAGCCCAACTTTTTCACACCAGTTGTGATGGCTAACACTGTTGCTACTCTGGTGGTCCAGACTGAACTTTTACCTTCTCAGATGCCCTCCTCCCTCTCTCCCTTTCCTTCCCTCCTCCCCTCCGTAGAGGATGGAGAGAAGGGAGAAGAAGAGGGCAAAGAGTCAGGAACAGTTGGGCTCACAGGTGACGTGGTGACATCATCAACACCCCCTGCAACGGTGGCTCAAATCCCAGAGCATCCATTCCAGTGTTTGGACTGTGGCAAGAGTTTTAAGTGGTCATCCAGATTGGCACATCATCAGAGAAGCCATAACAATGAGAGGCCATATCGCTGTAACCTTTGCCCTAAGGCCTTTAAGGGCTCATCTGCCCTACTATACCACCAGAGGTGAGAGGTCAATTGATTCTACATATGGACCGAGATGCAGGGTCACACAGCATTGAATATTGTATAATGTATGAAGATGTGATTTCGTGATGACTGTTTTTGTTCTGTTACTTGCTGTTCACCACAAGTTCCTCAATAAAATTGGTTGTTTAAGGTCTCATTCTGGAGAGAAGCCGTATAAGTGTGATGACTGTGGTAAAGCATTCAAACGCTCCTCTCTTCTACAGGTGAGAATAAAATGAAGGAATCAATTATCATATGTATAATATGTATAATCATATGTAATATATTTCTTTTAGGATTCTTTGATTAATGGAAAGTTCAAAAGAACAGTGTTTATTTGAAATTGTATAAATTTGTAATAATGTAAAAGTCTTTATTGTCGCTTTTGATCCATTCAGTGTGGGCTTACTGAATAAAAGTAGTCATTTCTTTAAGTAAAAAAAAGTAGTAAAAAAAATCTTCTTTTTCTATTTTCCTACCATCACAATGGTTTATCTGTCCAGATACATCGGAGTGTGCATACAGGCCTTCGCACTTTCCAGTGCTCCTACTGCCCTTTGACCTTCAAATGGAGCTCACACTACCAGTATCACCTCCGCCAGCACACCGGTGAATGTCCGTACCCATGCGACAGCTGCTCCAAAGCCTTCAAGAACTCTAGCAGCCTGCGTCGCCATAAGAATGTACACCTGGGCTTCAAGCCTTACGTCTGTGACGTCTGCAATAAAGCCTTCAGTCAGTCCACTAATTTGCGTCAGCACATGCGCATACACACAGGCGAACGCCCTTATGTCTGTGGGGATTGTGGGCGCAGCTTCACGCATTCGTCCAACTTGGCGCTGCATCGCATCTCTCACATAGAAGGAAAGGGGAAAAGTGCTGGGAAGGCTGGAGGGGCTGATTCAGGATCAGCAGCTCGAGAGATGGAGGTGGTGCTGACGGAGGACTTGAACACTGTTGGGATGAGTATTTCTGAAATGGTTGGGCTCGTTGGTGGACAGGAAGGAGGGGTCGGACAGGTGTTCCTGTCTCACAATACGTCCTCGCCTGCTACCTCAGGTACAGCCAATCAGAACATCCTGCCACAGCTGACGCTCACACCCACTTCCTCAACTGTCACAGGCTCAGGGCATATGCACATGAGCAAGAATGACACAGGTGCTGGTGTTTTGCTGTTTAGTTGTGGCAGCTGTAATGAGACATTTTCAACACAGAGTCACCTTGAGGAGCATCAGACTCTACATTTAGATAGTCTTGGCCCAGCAGGTGGTGGAGGGGTTGCTACAGAAATTAGCACAGAGGCTGAGGGAGGTGGAGTGTCACTGGTGGGGGCTACACCATTGTTGGCAGACTTTGAAGAGGTTGTTGAAACCACCACAGTTGCAGATAGTGGGCAGACGGCAGAGTTACTTGGTCTGGATGCCATTAGAAATGAGTCGGGGCAGGCACAGTATGATCTTCTGCAGACCTTTACTGCGTCTGTGAATCAGATGCCCACTGATACCGGTGTGCCAACTGCACAAGCTACAACAGAATGTGTCTACTGTGGGAAGAGTTTCAAAACCAGCAACGGTCTGACCAGACATGTGGCTCAGGTGAGACCAAGAAACTGTTCTGGTGGACAGAGAATTTTAAGAACCAAACCTCCATTTCTCATTGTCTCTTTCTTTTTAAGGCCCATCCTCTTGCTCTATCCGAGTCGCGTTCTCAGTTCAACTGCTCGGCATGTGATCGCTCCTTCCCTCTGCTCTCCTCTCTGCTTAACCACCAGCACTCGCACACTCCTGAGCAGAGGCTGCTTGCTGAGGCAGAGGCAGAAGCAGAGATCGTCTGCCCCTCTCTCTCACTGCCCCTGCCCTCCTTAAAGAGAGATGGAGAAGATGGAGAGAGAGAGATCCATGTCAGTCTAATTGCTGTTACTGAGGAGGGAGAGAGACGAACTGTAAAGCCATCTGTCAAAGCATCAGGAAAGGGAGCTAGGAGAGGTGGAGGCAGCAAGACATCTGCCACAAATAACGGTAAGAGTCTGCAGTGGATGCAAAATGATTAGTTTGGTTTGTTCCAAATCTGGCATCTCGATTGTAAGGTTTCATTATTCTTATTTATTATACTATGCTATTATACTATGCTATTTATTTTCAAGACCATACATTACCTTACATGGTATAATAAACACCCATTTGATACATGAGACATTTGCACACACAGTGTAACTCATATTCATCTCACTGAATTTCTGTCTTCATTCCCTACAGAGAGGCCATATCGCTGCTCTGAATGTGGGAAGTCATTCAAAGGTTCATCAGGACTTAGGTACCACATGAGAGACCACACTGGGGAGAGACCGTATCGATGCACAGAGTGTGGCAAGAGCTTCAAAAGGTCCTCACTGCTGTCCATACACCAAAGGGTAAATAGATCTTCTTGTCAAATTGACATGTTTTGATTTCTTTTTGCGTAACAGCAGGATTAAAAAACTGATTCATTGCATGATTTCATCAATGATTTAATGGTAGAATTTTTTATTGGTATTTTATGTTTTTTAATAATATTTATGGGTTGATCCAGTTCATATGTTCAGCTCACTGGCTCTGATTTGGTCACAGCAGTTAACAACACACTAAAGGAAAGCTTACCATTGACTTGTATTTCAGTTTGGATCTCGCAACGTTGCGCATGATATGTAACAACTACACTAATAATACTTTTATGGTGCTTTTATGCATGGAGAATGGCCTGAGCAGCTTTGTTTATGAATGACAGAATTCTAATATTTGAAATTAACATTTTAATCCTTAATTTTGTTCATGTTTTCTAAATTAGCTCTAAAAACATCTTGAAAATGTTCTCAACCCATCTAGGTCCACACAGGTGTGAGGGCTTTTCAGTGCCCCTACTGTCCACTGACCTTTAAGTGGAGCTCACACTACCAGTACCATCTTCGCCAGCACACCGGTGAGCGGCCATATGTATGTCAGGAATGTGGCAAGTCTTTCAAGAACACCAGCTGTCTCCGTCGCCACAGTCAGCTCCATTCTGGCTTACGTCCACACGCTTGCTCTGTGTGTGGTAAGGCTTTCTCTCAAACCTCCAACCTTAAACAGCACGAACGGACACACTCTGGATGCTATTTATTTTCAAGACCATCCATTACCTTACATGGTATAATAAAAACCAATTTGATACATGAGACATTTGCACACACAGTGTAACTCATATTCATCTCACTGAATTTCTGTTTTCATTCCCTACAGAGAGGCCATATCGCTGCTCTGAATGTGGGAAGTCATTCAAAGGTTCATCAGGACTTAGGTACCACATGAGAGACCACACTGGGGAGAGACCGTATCGATGCACAGAGTGTGGCAAGAGCTTCAAAAGGTCCTCACTGCTGTCCATACACCAAAGGGTAAATAGATCTTCTTGTCAAATTGACATGTTTTGATTTCTTTTTGCGTAACAGCAGGATTAAAAAACTGATTCATTGCATGATTTCATCAATGATTTAATGGTAGAATTTTTTATTGGTATTTTATGTTTTTTAATAATATTTATGGGTTGATCCAGTTCATATGTTCAGCTCACTGGCTCTGATTTGGTCACAGCAGTTAACAACACACTAAAGGAAAGCTTACCATTGACTTGTATTTCAGTTTGGATCTCGCAACGTTGCGCATGATATGTAACAACTACACTAATAATACTTTTATGGTGCTTTTATGCATGGAGAATGGCCTGAGCAGCTTTGTTTATGAATGACAGAATTCTAATATTTGAAATTAACATTTTAATCCTTAATTTTGTTCATGTTTTCTAAATTAGCTCTAAAAACATCTTGAAAATGTTCTCAACCCATCTAGGTCCACACAGGTGTGAGGGCTTTTCAGTGCCCCTACTGTCCACTGACCTTTAAGTGGAGCTCACACTACCAGTACCATCTTCGCCAGCACACCGGTGAGCGGCCATATGTATGTCAGGAATGTGGCAAGTCTTTCAAGAACACCAGCTGTCTCCGTCGCCACAGTCAGCTCCATTCTGGCTTACGTCCACACGCTTGCTCTGTGTGTGGTAAGGCTTTCTCTCAAACCTCCAACCTTAAACAGCACGAACGGACACACTCTGGAGAAAGGCCCTTTCAGTGCTCCCAGTGCCACAAGAGCTTCACCCACTCATCCAATCTGCAGCTGCACCTACGCACACACTCCTCGCGCAAGGACTTCAAGTGCCAACACTGCGGAAAAGAGTTTGTCATGCTCTCCTACCTGCAGAGGCACTTGAGAACTCACAGTTCTGGGGGTGCAGTAGCGTGTACGAAGGAAGCAGGAAAGGTGGCTAAAGGTAGTGGGGCTTCAGAGACAGCAACGCTAAATTTAAACTTGAATGTACCTGGAGGGCTTACCTCATTGTTTCCCACTGATAGCAATTCCACATTAATTCTTTCACCCCCAAATCTGGACATACCTCCAAACACATCACAGAACTATTTTATGATCCAGACGACTTCAGGGTTGCAACTGATCCCACTATCCAATCCCACGCCAACACAGCCTGCCCCTCCTCCTCCCCCACCACCACCTCCACAGACACAAAATTTCCTGCTGCTTCAGTGCCAGTCCAACAATGGCAACCAGCCTAGTCTTATCCTGGTTCCCACAGCATCCAGTACAAACACTCTTCCCACCCCTTCAGAACCACAGACCCTCCCCTTGGTGCAGACCATTCCGGCAATGTCCCAGGTTCTGGCAGCACCTCAAACTCAAATCCAGCAATTTCAACCAGTTCAGACACAGCAGAGATTTATTTTGACCAATAATAATGCTCCCCTCATTACTGCCCAGCCTCAAAGCACATCGACGATTGCTCGTCCCATTTTAGGCAGCCTCGGTCGTAGCCGGAAAGGAGGAACCAGGCGTGGACGGAAGCCTAAAGCTGCTACCCAAAAATCCCCCCCTACAGTTCAGACCACACTAGTTAAGAAACAGTTAATGTTATCAGGTGCAACTTCCACATCTACCACAATATCTAGTGCCACTTCTGCTGCTTCTTCAAAGACAGAGTTCCCACAGCTTAATGCTGATGATCCACCGACTGTGTCACCTGTCAGCATTAGCCAAGTACCTGGAAGCTCTTCGGTTCCTGCAGTTAGAATTATGTCAGTGACGCCAAACTCCACTCTAACAAAAAGTTCCCCCATGTTGAGCAGTGATCCTGAGAGTGTTCCACTCGAAGAGAAAGCTGTCAAAGAAATCTCAAGGGAGCACTTCGTTCTGTGCCTAAAGAAAGAAATGGAGAATGGAGGACAGGGGGATGGGATGGAGGTGAAGGTGGAGATGGAGGGAGGGAATGATGCAGGGCGGTCTTATGTATTGCAGATTGAAGGTGAGGGCCAGCAAGAAGAGGGAGGGAATAGTGAGGGAGGAGAGAAGTCATATGTCCTCCGGTTTCAGACAGAGGGAGAATGTGAAGGAGATGCAGGAAAACAGAAGACAGAAATGGTCTCTCTTAACTTACTCCAAGAGTGGACCGGACAGAGTGAGGGGCATGGAACTGCAGATGCTGAGGGAAGTGTTGAAGTAGAAAAGTCCTTTGTGCTTCATTTCCAAACAGAGCCTCAGAGTGAGGAGGACATTCAGCCAAACTCAGGCTTCATAGGAGGCCCAGGTGAGGATCTCAACCTTTCTTGCCATCCGGGTCAAGCCTTAGTGCCTCTGGAAGGGCAGGATGTGGTATTTGAGCTCGCTGATGAGACAAAAATGGATGGAAGCACGGGCCCAGGGGACAGTGTTCAAATGATTGCACTGATAGAAGGTGAGGGCAATGGTTCTGGGGCAAGGGGCAGTTTTAAAGGTGCTGTTGGGGCAAACTCTGGGCAAATGGAGGGAATCTTCCAGTTAGAGGGGGGAGAAGGCATTGTTATAATTGAAGTTAGCACCAGCAGTTTGAGAGAGGGTGGAATAGAGGCAGCAGATGTAGGACATACTTTAGCGGAAGGAACTGAGGAAAAACAAGGTAATGATGCACAAGAGGCATGAGAGGAATTACTGTCAGAAGAGTCAAAACGTGTTGAGGCTGAGAGCATATCATCGTCAGAGATGGGACTGATTGGAACTTAGGGTTAAGAATGGAGCACTATAATAGTCAATCGGACTGGCTTTAACACAAATCACACCTCACGACAGTGTTTCAAATGCAAACTGGCACATTTGTTTACCACATATCCAAACTGGATTAATTTCAAGTAATGGTTCTGTTATTCTAAAGTGTTCCTTTTGGACTGTGATTAATGTTTTTAGATATTAGGAAGCTGAGAACAACATTGTAGCTATAGGACCAACACAGGACCTATGTTGAATCTTACATAAATCATTAGACTTGTTTGCTCCACACATAGACATCCTTAGAACACCACAGTGTCTTCTTCCTAAGCTGTTGTCCTCCCACCCCCAAGACTGCACTTTGTGTGGATAAAGCATATTGCTTGTAGTTACAGTTGTTCACCTGGCCCCTACGGGGAGCTATTTCACAAACCACAATCATCGAATACAGCCCAGCCAAAAAGCAGTGGTTTCTAAATGAAGGAAATCCCTGGTGCTCCTCCACAACCAGGGTGCACTGAAAAGAGAATTTATAAACTAATATGAAATATGAACTATATTCAGCTATGCTGTCATGTTGACAGTGACTGTACAAAGTGAACTTTTGTAAATATGTCTACTCAGTTTTCATTCTTAATATTGGTACTAGATGACAATTACCAATAAAAATAGATATGAATGTCAGTATTTGTGTTTGCTTTTTTACTTATTTCTCAGAGCTTAAAAATATATTCATTTGACTTCATATGTAGGTACATTTTTGTTAAGATTTCATTGAGTTAATACTTCCATTTGAAATTGCTGCAAATAATTTTACATACAGAGATAAGCTCTGCTATATTTAAGACCTTTTTTCTTAAAATATAGATTTAACGTGCACATATGTGACCCTGGACCACAAAACCAGTCATAACACAAGGGTACATTTTTTTAAATTGAGATTTATACATCATTTACGAATCTGAAGCTGAATAAATACGCTTTCCATTGATGTATGGTTAGTTAGGATAGGACGATATTTGGCCGAGATACAACTATTTGAAAATCTGGAATCTGAGGGTGCAAAAAAATCTAAATATTGAGAAAATCGCCTTTAAAGTTGTCCAAATGAAGTCCTTAGCAATGCATATTACTAATCAAAAATTAAGTTTTGATATATTTACGGTAGGAAATTTACTAAATATCTTAATGGAACATGATCTTAATATCCTAATAATTTTGGGCATAGAATAAAAAATCAATAATTTTGACCCATACAATGTATTTTTGGCTATTGCTACAAATATACCCCAGCGACTTAAGACTGGTTTTGTGGTCCAGGGTCACATGTGTAAAGGCACACATATATGCGTCAAATTCATACAAGACGCATGCGCTCTAGCGTTGAAAGAGTAAACCGCTATGTGCGCATCTAGACTACGCAGTTTGTGTAGTGTCGTATTCCCGGATGAGAATTGGTTGAAATTGCATTCCATGCGGGAAGACCACGCTGAATCCTTAAGTCCCTCAAACACTGCAAGTAACGTCGACTACAGAGGAGGGCATTTTTGCATTACGTTGCTTTTAAAGCACTGACGGCTTCTCTGAATATTAGGTAAGGTCACGCATGCTCTATATATTACAGCCACAGATTAAGCTATAAAGAAGGTGGTGTTTACCATATAAGGGATTAAATAAAGCGTGGTGACGGAGCAAGCTAACGGTACAGCATGCTACTATAAACCTGTTAAATGCCTCTTGAACAGCGCTGCTCAGTCGGAAAGACATAGACAAGCCACAAGTTGTTTTTTCATAAATGTTTGAGATGTAAAGCAATATAATAAGCTCAGGGGCGTCATGCACTCATGATTTTTGAGGGGGCACGGTCCTCATGCTTGTCATGTGACATACAGCAGCCACGATATGATTGTATACCTTATAGGCTTGTTTTATTTTAATTTTTTTTTCCTTTTCATTCGAAATATTTCCAATCAGGAAATATCTATATTCTCAAATATGTGTAAGTAAATGCGTTTTGCACCTTTATAGATTGTTATTTGATCTATAATGGGTGATGGGCAAAGTAGACTAGTGTAATCTATTAACTAACGTTACACATAAAAACCCGTCTTAAGTACCAGATATGGGTGTCATGCCATAAAATATTTTTTATTTAATGTGACTTTGTATTTAATGTGAATTTAATAACAATATTGTAAGTTACTAATTATAACACTTTCATTTTACAGAGAGCAAAGAACATTTACATTATCAAAGAACATTTTCATTCAGTCTAGCCAGAGTTCGGGCACTCTCAAAAACTCCCATTTAAATCACTGAAGCTGTTTACACTGTGAAATGAATATCTTACATTCGTACGCACATCTGCACTTTGTTGTTTCTGATGAGAGAATTCGCAGAGAATTCAGTCAGCGAGCAAGTGAACAAAACACCGCGTTTCAGCGATGACTCATCTGAACGTCTCTGATTGGTCTTTGCATTCATAAGCTCAACAGCATCGTGTGTGATTGGTTATAATGCAGCGCTGTACAAATACGTCTGTCTCTGGCTCAGCGCCAGCCAGCGAACACAGATTTGAATTTAGCAGCTGATGCTGTGCCGCACTGAACGATCTAATCACACACGGTGTGATTGTATCAAATATATAAAAAATATATTATTCGGATTTTTTATTATTAAAAAATAAACTACTATTTTTGTCTTTTGGAAGCTGCATTCAAAATCCACTTGGCTCACAAATCTGAGGGGGCACGTGCACTTTGTATGGGCATGACGCCTCTGAATAAGCTCATGAGGCAATCGTACATAAAACCACAAGTCTATCACGTTAAACTTGTCCTTATTTGCATGTACTCCACAGAGAATTTCCTGTTTTTTTGCAATTACATTCTCTGCAGTGAAAAATAAAAATCTAATTAAAACATCTAATTGACTAAATTCAGGTTTCCCTATGTTAATTAAATGTTTATATTTTTTATTGAACCTTTTTTTTTTTGATAATGTCTCTTTCAGGTAAGATGGTTAGATTGGACTTTGGTGATGTACTTCTGCGCAGGATGCAGGAGAAGGACATTGATGCTGTAAAGGCTCTCATCAAGGTGCGATTCAACATCATATCCCTCATGAGCTATACACACACACACAGAGAGCTGGGTAGGTTACTTACAAATTGTAGGCTAGTCAATTACAGATTACATGATGAAAACTAGTTAGTAACGTAATCTAGGTTACTCATTTTAGGTAATGTAATCGGGCTACTTTTTTAGATGACATTTAGATTACTTTTTTTTTTAATCAAACTTGTTTTAAACGTACCATTAAACGTACCATGTTGATTTAAAAAAAAAAAAGCAAAGAGAAACACTAAAAGCAAATATATTCCATGTTTTGATGTCAACAACATCATAAAATACATTAAACATTACATTAGTGAGTTTATAGAGAGTGAATAGTAAGTTGATAAAAACCTAATAATTAATCCTATCATAAAAATGTAAAATAAAAGCAATTTAAACACTTGAACATAAATACTTGAACACTTAAATATAAATATAGTATTTGTTTACCTGCATGTCAGTGTGACCATTAACTGACATCAGAGAAATGTAAACATGCAAATGTGTTAATTATTGAAATGTTAACTACCTCTGTGATATTTCAACAATTTTATTTTAAGGGGGTGACAAAAACGTTTGGGAATCCCTGCATGAAACACATTAATAAACATGAAAACAACAACGACACACCCAAAGTCTTCCAGGTTTGAAATATTTTTGTCCAGACTTCCAGAATCAATAAATTATAAAAATGTACTGCCATTGTGTGAATAGTATGTAATCATGTAATCCATAAAAAGTAACTATAATCTGATTACAAGCATTTTAAAATGTAATATACTCTTAATTACAACTACAAAATCTTTGGAATCTGGGCCCGTATGTATAAAACTTCTCAGAAATGCTCTTAAAGGGTTAGTTTAGTCAAAAATGAAAATTATGCTGCGTTTCACTCACCCCCGATGCATCCTAGGTGTATATGACTTTCTTCTTTCAGACGAATCCAGTCGGAGTTATATTAAAAATTGTCTTTGATCTTTCAAGCTCTCGTTGTACTCAGCGGGTGTTGCATTCCTTCGGTTCAAAAGACGTGAAATAAAAAGCACCCTTCCACAAAAAAAAGTGTCTCACACGGCTCTGGGGGGTGAACAAAGGCCTCCTGTAGCGAATCGATGCGTTTTTGTAAGAAAAATATCCATATTCAAAACGTAATAATCACTTGAATCTAGCTTGCGCTCACTGTTGTACACGGAAGCAGTTCCGGGGGAATGACGTATGAGGTCAGCTTTGCGCATGCGCGGCTCAGAAGTGACGCACGCGGAGAGATCGAAACAAAACAACGGTCAATCAAAACATCACTTTTGGCCACTGTTGTGTTTGGTGGGGTTAGTGCCACAATATGTAAGAACCTGCTTACTGTGTCATCACCGGTGCATTGCTGCATTTTTCCAATTTTCCAGCCCAAAAAAATTAATTACTACTTTAATTTCTGCTGTTAGAGCATTGACGTTGAGTGGAAGAAGTTATAAAATGTTTTAATTTATCAGTTAAAGTTTTTATCAAAAAAGACTTTTTGATCTTTACAATTAAGTTTGTATCGTTTTATCAACTCCATATTATCATATAAGTCCAATATATTTTCGCTGGAAAGTGTTTGTTGTCTCCTCTTTTCTGCCATCTTATTACTCCTAACTAGGTTAGGAGACCTCTCCAGCTCTCTTAAATGATTTAGGGGCTGAGACCTCTTTTAACACTTAGGAACCTTTATGAATCACTCTTATTCTTAAGTCTAGGAATAAGAGTAAAATTACGTCATTCTTAGAATTTTGACACACTTAAGACTAAACTTTTACTTTGAGCGGCTTTATACATACGGCCCCTGATTATATAATCCAGATTACATGTAAACCGTTATTATCCAGCACTGTGTGTGTGTGTGTTTTTGTGTGTATGTGTGTGTGTATATATATATAGGCTTCAGGCCACTATCACCGCAAAAATGCCATACATGGAGATAATGTTATCTAGCAATATCAAAGAACTTGGCAGATAGAAATAATTAGGAGGTACACCATGGAGAGGTCAGTGAGGTACATTATACATGCCAACATTGAAGAAGTTTGTTGAGGATTTTTTTCCCCTTTATGGCCTCCTCTCATTCTATCTTTGTTTGCAGGAAGGATGTGAGGGAACGGAGAACCGCCTGATTCTTTACCTTCTGACTCGTCCTCTCGCTGTCCTCATGCTGGCCATCCTCTCCTCCATCCTCCGCTGTGTACTGCACTCTTTTATCTTGGCCTTGGTTGTTCCCGTCTTCATCTTCATCATCTACCTCAAACTCACCATACCGCGGTCGGTGGGCATCTTGGGCTCCAGCAGGCCGTACTGGGACTACGTGGGCAGCAGTTACCATGTAGACACAGAGCCAGATCTACCCAATCCTCACGCTGGCAGAGCCAAACTGGAGAAAACCAGGCGGCGTAAAAAACCCAAAGAAAAGGAGAAGGACAAGACGAATGAGAGAGAACAGGTGGATGAGGATGAGCTGAAGGAGAGGGCGAAGGTTGCTGGTGAGGTGTGGGTGGCGGACTC